AATGCAAGTTGTTATTGCAATCGAGATATTGGATAGAACGAAATAAATAAATAGAGCAAGATTCGAAGGATATTAAGGTATGAATTGAGTGTATTCTCAAAGAGAAATTAAACTAAACAATAACTTCTTATCTCTCAATAAGTCCTAACTCGTCTAAGTACAAAACATTTTGGTAAAAAAGTAGTGATTACGACTTAGATAATCTTAGTTCATAGATAAAGAAAAAAACGGTAAAAATAAATGTAGGTGCGGTAGTTTAGATAAACCTACTTATAAATAAGAAAATCTATTACATTAATTAGTCTTAAAAGAAAAGATAGGTTTACCCTCGGAATCCTCATCAAGTTTGTTGAATTCTTCATTTGCTTCGTTACCACCATGAATATCATCTCTGCTCAATTTAAGAGTTACTGCTCGTCTGCTAGAGTTTTGGTCCACCTGATCCACATCTTCATCGCCAGCGTCCGCTAAAAGCTCTGCTGCAGCCTCTGTTGCTAGATTGGTATGCAAATCCGATGATTGTTCGGCATATATCGTAGGATGGGATAGGGGTACCTATTAAGCAAATAGAAGTGATTAACTTGGCATGAGAAAGTATAAAAAGTTAGGGAAGAGATAAAAAATTCGGAAATGGGTCTAGGTAGATACATAATTAATAAAATTAAGGTTGATAAATTTCCCATATTTAAATTAATGTCATGTGCAATCAACAGATAACAATATAAAATACATGAGATGTGTTCATCTTGTCCATAAGGGTAGGTGAATTTTCTTACAATGATATGACCTTATGTTTCCATTGAATTTGAATTATCCTTCCTATCACTAAAGCTGTTTTCATCGGCATCCCCAGAGGGACCGGACCATCAGAGTACAATGTAATGTCGACACATTAACCATAAAGCCACAATGCCACAAGTGTCTTAGGTCACAGAGAAGGCAAGGCATTTTCTCACATCCCATTCTGTAGTGGGATTGTCAATAAGCAAAGTTGTATTAGCTATTAAAATCGACTAGATTACTCATTTTTCGTTTATAATTTGGTTTATAGACTACCAGTATATCACAATATATGAGGTGTATTAATTCCTCCCAACTTCCTTTTTACTTCAAACGAAAAAAAGTGAATACACTTCATATGTGAAATCTAATGGTAGTCTTAAAAGCCTACTTAAAAACGAAAGAAATTAAAAATGCCAGTTGTAGATTACTTCTATTTTAGGGGCCACTTTTTCAAAGAATCCAGCTCAAATGACAGTAAGAATGTGAATAAATAAAGCCTAGCTGAATTTATAGGTTATGTCTTGAATGGAGATGTCTTTGACGTCTTATTTCTAGTAAACCTTCATAACGTATAGCCATCAGTTTATGGTTTATGAATTGTATGAAATATAAGTTCATAGCTACTGACGTTGATAATTTGAGAAATTAAGGGTTTTGGATAAATATAAATTAGAAAATCATTGAAAACACCTAATGTAGTTTATAATCAATGTAGTAAAGGACTTCTTCAAATGTAGATGGGGTGAAATCCTTTTAATCCCTAAACAACAAACGTAGCACAAATATATGCCACTTTATCAAAGAAATGTAAACATTTGATGATGCCCAGAATCAGTGAATATGGAAGTATGCTATCATGCATCTCGGCCTTAGCTGGATGGTGCAAGGACAGGATCCTAGCGCTTGAGTGATCACTTGTCACCTAGCTTAAAATCAACATCTCAATATTATATACGCTTGAAATGTACTTGTCTCAAGCATTTTAAAAACAGTATAAATTCAGCAAATTTGAAAGCTTACCTTAGCAGATTGAATAACATTGTCAGAATTTGCCCTTAGTCCGAGCTTTGTTTGATTATAAGATTCGGAAACTGGCCCCGCCTCTGTGATATTGTGAGAATCCTCCTCCTCATCACTGTCAGCAGTCCCGTCAAGCTGGGGCATAATGACTCGACCCAAGGAATGATGAGCATCTTGATCGAGAATAACATTTGCCGATTTTTCCGAATTAGCCACGACCCCAGACTGAGTCGAACTGGAAGACTGAGCGCCTGCAACACTTGAAAGGGATGTGAGACCTGTGTTGAAACTAGTCACTAGGTGCTGCGGTTGAATTTGCACTCTCTGTTGTCCTGGGCCCCCTGAACAAGAGCATAAATTAAACTTTTAAATGAGACATTTTTTAGTAAATCAAGCATAATTAGTAATCAATAGTGAAAAATATATATTTTACACAAATACATGAATTTTAGCCAATTAGTAGGGATAAATCAAGAAATCCATTATGGAGGGAATAATAGAGCTTAGGTAGACTGACATATAGCCCGAGTTAGTGGAGCAAGTATAATCTTAATTGGGTTGTGC